GGACTTCCCTTTACCTGGTCTGTGTCTTCATGTGGAAGTGAGTACAGGTGGGAAAAGAGGGAAGGGTGGGGAGTTGCAGCTTCTTGAGCAAACGGCTTCGTGAGGGGTCATCACTCCTTCCCACTGTGGAAGAAACGTGACCTGCTGGTGATAGTTTGGGGCCTTCGGCTGCTCATTAGTGAGCAGGACGGTATGACCATGTCGCCTTCTGCTTCTCTCCCAGAGCCAAGGTTTAGCTGAGCCAGGATCCACTTTTGCCAGGGAAGAGATGATGGAGTCTGGCTTCCTGTCCCCTTTCCCAGGGTGCTCGGGGTGGGCTTGTCTTTGGTCTCCTGAGCCAAGTGGCTGTCCAGGGGATCTTCGATCCTGCTCCTGGTGTCTGGCCTTGGGTATGAGAGCAGACTTCTTTCAGGTTCTGGTGCTAAGCCGTGCGTGGCAGCCTGACTTGCCGGAAGCCCACCCCATTAGAGTTTTGGGGACTGGCCTGGTGATACCAAGTAGTGTCGTACTCCTACCCGCCTGCAGAGGGGGCCAGCCATGCAGGTGTGAGACCTCAGCATCCGAGCTGTTGCCACCTGTCACCTCTCACACCCCCGCCTCCTCCCAGACCCCAGCTCAAAATACAAGGCTTGTGGTCTGTACCCTTTGAACCCAGGAGTAACGAGGACCTGGGGGTCAGATTTTTATTTGCACCTTGGCTCCAGCCACCCGTACGCTGATTGACTTTAGGTAAAATCATCTGCCTCTCTACGCCTCACTTTGGCCTCTCTGAGAACATGCCTGACAGCGTGGGGAACGGGTTCGGCAGTGCCCGCTGTGCAAGGCAGGAGCTCAGCCCGCATCGGTGGCTGTGGCTGTCCGGGTACACCACCCAGTTCTGCTGGTGTCCGGGACTGGTATGGCTGGCCCTGGTCAAGGACTTTGTTGAGATCTGCACTGCATTTGCCTAGGGGTTGGGGAGGAAACTGTCCAGAGAGGAGTGACATCTCAGGGCTGGGAGGGGCCCAGGGCCCAGTCAAGGAGGCCTCTCTGCTCTCCCATCCCCACTGCAAGCCGCCGAGCCCTTCTCCCTCCCCCATCCTCCACTCCCCTCACTAGTGCACTCCTTGTGTGCGGACAGGGAAGGCACATGCTCTGAATCCCCCATGCCTGTCTCTGAGGGGGGCTACCAGCCAGGACTACGTGGGGAGGATCCCAGTGCCTGCGATGGGCCACTGGCTGTCCCAGAGCACGCTGTGCCAACCAGTGAGTCTGCTCTGCCCCAGGAGGTCCCCTGCATGGCCTGCACCTCGGGACTTTGTTCAGGCTGTGGCTTTCGTATACTCCTCGGGCGCTTTCTGGCCCTGCCCTGGCTCTGGCCCTGCTCTGGCCCTACCTTGGCTCTGGCCTGGCCCTGCCCTGGCCCACACACATCTGGTGCACAGGGAGGGCTGTGCTGTGGTGGGGCCACTGTGTCCCTGGCCAGGAAGCCCACATCTGCTCCCCAGGGTCCCTGTGTGATTGCTATTCTCAGCGCTGTCAGTGCTTTGAGCAGGCCCCTCTCCGGGCCAGCAAGGGTGGGATGGAAGGGGAGGAGACACCGCTTTGTGGTTTCCACTCCATCGACAACAGCAATTTCATGCCAGGGTCCCGTTCTGATGGACCGCGGGGGGTGGACCAGACGCCGACACTCCTTAAGCAAAGGCGGAACACGTGAGCTGAGTGCCCCAACCCTGGGCAGATTCCTCCCTTTTTGTGACCTCTGTTTTCTCCTCTGCCTGAAGAGGTTGGATGGAATCGTGGTAAGGCCTCTCCTGGCTCTGGAGTCCACTTTTAGACAACCAAGCATGGGCTAAGAAATGTGCAGAGGAGGCTCAGAGCAGCTGGTCCGACCTCCACTGCCAGCCTGTCCTTCAGGGTTAGTGGGGGCCCCTCCCCAGGAACACTAACTAGTCCAGGCTTCGCAATCAGCAGACCCGGGCTCTGTCGGTGTGACCCTGGCAGTCGCTGCGGCTCACCAGGCCTGCTTATTCATCGGCCTGGGAATGGTGCTTAGCCCTGGCCTTAGAAGGATTTTAGTTGTCAGCACTGCTGGCTTCCCCAAGCCTTCCACCTCCTGCACCGCTGGGACGTGGGAGCATGTCTGCAGAGCCCGCATCTCTGCTTTCCAAATGGGTAAATGGGCTGGAGAGAACAAGGGACAGGCCGAGCCTGGTCTAGTGCCCAGGGGCAGGCAGAGCAAGGATCGCATGGGGCTGTCTGACTCTGGCAAAGCAGAGAAGAAAGAGCCTATAGCTTTGGTGGGTCCTGGGAGTATGCGCTGTCTCCCCGTTCCTCCCAGGGAGGGGCCTGCCTGGGTGCTGCTTGTACCCCAGGCCATCCCCTCCCTCACACAGTGGACAGAGGGGACCCCCTGATGGGGATGTGGTGAGGAGGGTCCTGCCCACCTCCTGTGAAATTTGGGGGGAGGGGGCACAAACACAGACCACAGCACTGGACTCACCCAGAGAATTCGAGGCAATATTCCCCTTCAGATCCTTAATTACACTGCCAGGAACATTTTTTAAATTAAATTTAATTTAATTTGTTTATTATTATTCTTCAATTTGACCAAAGGGAGACAGAGAAAGAGAGAGATGGAGAGCGAGAAAGCAAGCCTCCAGGCCCAGGACTTGAACCGTACTCAGCCATGTGGGAATCTGGCGCCCCAACCACCACACTTCCTGCTGGCCCCGCCCAGTCCCTTTAACATCAGGTGTTCACAGGTGCTGGGATTGGGGCGTGGCCATCTCGGGGTCATTACTCAGCCTGCTGCAGTATGACCCACATTTTGGGACCCTGGGCAGGTTCCATCAGTGCTCTGAGCCTCAGTCCCCTTACCTGTTAACATGGTTCACCATGGAAGCTTCCAGGGCTGTTCCAAGGATGAAATGAGTCACCTGGGTGTGTGGGCAATGCCCGGTGCACATACCCGGCCTCAGGCAGCTGGCTGTTCTTAGCAGTATTTGGATGGCGGGCATCCCTCTGGGACAGGGTCATTAATGACAGCTCATGGCAGGCTGCAGGAGCATGGGGTCCACAGACAGTGCTGGGGAAGGACGGGTGGAGTGCACTCGCTTCCCACTGGGAGACAGGAAGACCGCCTAAGAGGAGGCTTCCGACCTGGGAAGTAGGTCGGTGTGTGACGGAGAGGACGGGCCGGTGGCAGGTGGGCCGCCAGGCTGCCGGAGAGGCCTGGGCCACAGACGGGCTGTCTGAGGAGGTGCATCTGCTGCTCGAGCTGCCGGCACAGAGTGCGCACACCATGGGCTCTACCCGGGCTCTGGCGGTGTGACCCTGGCAGTCGCTGCGGCTCACCAGGCCTGCTTATTCATCGGCCTGGGAATGGTGCTTAGCCCTGGCCTTAGAAGGATTTTAGTTGTCAGCACTGCTGGCTTCCCCAAGCCTTCCACCTCCTGCACCGCTGGGACGTGGGAGCATGTCTGCAGAGCCCGCATCTCTGCTTTCCAAATGGGTAAATGGGCTGGAGAGAACAAGGGACAGGCCGAGCCTGGTCTAGTGCCCAGGGGCAGGCAGAGCAAGGATCGCATGGGGCTGTCTGACTCTGGCAAAGCAGAGAAGAAAGAGCCTATAGCTTTGGTGGGTCCTGGGAGTATGCGCTGTCTCCCCGTTCCTCCCAGGGAGGGGCCTGCCTGGGTGCTGCTTGTACCCCAGGCCATCCCCTCCCTCACACAGTGGACAGAGGGGACCCCCTGATGGGGATGTGGTGAGGAGGGTCCTGCCCACCTCCTGTGAAATTTGGGGGGAGGGGGCACAAACACAGACCACAGCACTGGACTCACCCAGAGAATTCGAGGCAATATTCCCCTTCAGATCCTTAATTACACTGCCAGGAACATTTTTTAAATTAAATTTAATTTAATTTGTTTATTATTATTCTTCAATTTGACCAAAGGGAGACAGAGAAAGAGAGAGATGGAGAGCGAGAAAGCAAGCCTCCAGGCCCAGGACTTGAACCGTACTCAGCCATGTGGGAATCTGGCGCCCCAACCACCACACTTCCTGCTGGCCCCGCCCAGTCCCTTTAACATCAGGTGTTCACAGGTGCTGGGATTGGGGCGTGGCCATCTCGGGGTCATTACTCAGCCTGCTGCAGTATGACCCACATTTTGGGACCCTGGGCAGGTTCCATCAGTGCTCTGAGCCTCAGTCCCCTTACCTGTTAACATGGTTCACCATGGAAGCTTCCAGGGCTGTTCCAAGGATGAAATGAGTCACCTGGGTGTGTGGGCAATGCCCGGTGCACATACCCGGCCTCAGGCAGCTGGCTGTTCTTAGCAGTATTTGGATGGCGGGCATCCCTCTGGGACAGGGTCATTAATGACAGCTCATGGCAGGCTGCAGGAGCATGGGGTCCACAGACAGTGCTGGGGAAGGACGGGTGGAGTGCACTCGCTTCCCACTGGGAGACAGGAAGACCGCCTAAGAGGAGGCTTCCGACCTGGGAAGTAGGTCGGTGTGTGACGGAGAGGACGGGCCGGTGGCAGGTGGGCCGCCAGGCTGCCGGAGAGGCCTGGGCCACAGACGGGCTGTCTGAGGAGGTGCATCTGCTGCTCGAGCTGCCGGCACAGAGTGCGCACACCATGGGCTCTCGCTGGCCTGGAGGCCCAGGTCTGGACCGGCGGCAGCTGGTCCTGGGTCCCGCCTCCCGGCCTTGCAGAAGGCACTCCGCCGCCACGTCTCGTGGCCTCTCCTCTAGTGTCTCTCCTTATAAGGACACAGTCTTAGTGGTCAAGGTTGCCCTGTGACCTCGCGCAGCCTCAGTTCCCTCCTGAGAGGCCCCTTCTTCAAACGGAGCACACTGGGGGTCAGGGCTTCCACAGGAGTTGGGAGGACACAGTTGAGTCAACTGGCCCGAGGAGTGTCTCTCCCCAGGCGGCTCCTTGGCCCTGTTTTCCCGGGGTGGGGCGGGCACCGTGATCGTCTCGAGCCCAGACAGAAACTGCTTTCTCTCCCCTCAGCCTCAAGGACAAGAATGGAGGCGAGCTCATCCCCCCTGTGCTGAGGTTCACGGTGACATACCTGCGCCAGAAAGGTGAGCAGGCCAGTTCTGGGGGCACGTGGCTGCAGGGCGCACCTCCTGGGGGTCCATCTTGGATCTGGGTGCCCACGGCCGGGGACTCGAGGAGCTGCCCTACCCAGGGCAGGCAGCCGGGAAGGGAAGGGCTCACACCTGTGTGCGCTCTGGCTGGGTGGCCGCGTTGAATCCTGACCACCCCGTGCACGAGCTGTGTGACCGTGGGCCAGCCGCTTCCTTCTCTGGTCTGTCCAGGGTGTTAGTAACGGATCTGACTGAGGGGCTGCTGAGGCCTGAATGAGCGCCACCCACAGGCAGCCCTCCAGGACAGCCCGGTTTGCAGATGCATCGCCAGTGGACAGGCGTGGTCAAGCTGGACGAGGGTGGGGGAGACCTTAGGATCTCCTTCCCCTCCAGGGCCCTCCAGGCCCTCCCCTCCAGCCTCCACACTTTTCCTTTCGTTGCTCGAGACCATGTGTGCTGACCTGAGAGAGGGGGTGGGGGAGAAAGCACCCAGTGGGCGCCATCACACGCTGTCCGCCCTGTCAGGAAAGCACGCACCCGGCCTGGCTTTCAAGCCTCTGCGGCCAGGATTCAAACTGCAGCGGGCCGAATCCGCCAGCCACGGGCTCAGCCCATCACACA